CCGGGCCTAAAAAAAATTTTTAACCCTAATTGCGGGCCGGGCCGGGCCTTAAAAATAGGCAATTTGCAGGCCCCTAACAGACGGTGTTTCAAATATGGAGATATCAACTAATATCGATATTATGATTGCTTGTAAATTCTTGAAATAGCGGGCAGGCCAGAATTCGGCCAAAATTCGAAATAGCGCCCATGCCCGCTATTTGAGAATTAATCTGAAAAAAAAAACATTTTTTTACATATCAAAATATTTGTGAAAGTGAAATCGAAATATGGGATAAGTCAATATAATAATTTGTTGCAACTTTGAACAAGAATAGCTTAACAAAAGCTTAATCAAATTTAATAACAATTTTTTTAAAAAATTTTTAATTAATAAATTGTTAAGTTATTCTTGTTTAAAGTTTTTAAAAAAAATATTTGCTTGGTATTGTTCGTTTTGCTATACACCAAAATCAATTAATTTATTTGAAGCTAATAAAACAACTGCATAAATGCAAGATAAGGAAAGTAATGGAAAATGCATAGGTTCAGGGTGTGATAACGTTAACATAAATGAAGTCACATTACTACATGTATTATCAAAAACGTCTAATAGATGATATGCACTTCTTTTTATTCTAATAAAATCTTATTAATCCTATGATATAAAGAAATCACAAATATGCAATAATAAAATAGGGCTAATAAAATAGGAGTTGTATTTGATTATATCTGTATACGTAGTAACTTTTTCGAATGCACTTTTTACTTGGTTACATCCATTAAACGAATGCTGTGTAATCTGTAACTGATCTTAGTGTTATGCTAGGGTCGTTTTTAATTTGTTAGGCAGACCTTAAATCTGTTGACCAAATAATACTGTGCAACTTATGACGATTATCTGCTTAATACAATTTATTACCGGCAATTACCGTTGGTCACTGCTTACAGTATATAGTTATTCAAGAGACTAGCCAGGTCTTAATTATTGGAGAGTTCAACGATACATATGTAGCATTAATTATTATAAATTATTATAAGATCGAACTCAAATATTTACGCGTCTAAATTATTATTTCATGTTTTGTTATACATATACGATATTACAGTATTTATAGTATTATGAATTGAATTGCTTCTTTGCAATTTAATATCCACTTGCAGATTTCCTAATTCCTCGTAGAATTTTCGTTGTATTACAACATGAATAAACGAATAAATAAAATAAATAAATTTATTTATTACACTAAAAGAGCAAATCTAGACATGCTTGCTGCTAGAAATTATGTTGCGCAAAAACATTAACTTTTGTATCACATTAATTAGCCGTTTCTTATAATGATAAATTTATACATTAAATTATGAAATTTGTACCATTCTCCGGCGAATTAATTATTTGTTTAATAAGTCAACGTGAAAACGTTGTAACCACCGATACATCGATATGAACAAAATGATAATGTTAATTTTACAATACATAAGTATATACAGTACAGTATGTTGAAATATGCACGAAAATTAACAATAGAATTTTCTAAAAAAAACATCATTAACTTTTTGACAATGTTGGCTCTGGTTCACGCTTAAATAAATAAATTGTCATACACTTAATATTTCTTGTGTTAATAATAAAGTAAATTTTGGAAAATACCAGTGCTTAAAAAATGTCCTTCACTTCTCTCATTTTTCATTCATCTTTTTTTAAACAAACTCGAGCCATGTATCGTTTGGTATTAAAAAAATATCGATCATTATTCATCAAATGTTTATTTATAATAGTTATAAGCTTATTTCTTTATATATTTACGATTAACTTTATATTTAGCCAAGATGGTATACAACGATCAGTATTATCAATACAAAAAACATCATTGCAGGATGTGAAATTTTTGACATTTTTACCCCATAGCGGTTTCAGCAATCAGTTAATATCTTTAAGAAATGCTATAATGTTAGCTTATCTCACAAATAGAACATTAATAATACCTCCAATAATAGTAAATAAGAAAATCTGTTTTAGTGGATTCGACAAACTTTATAATAAGCTTAACTCTAGTTTTCCTATGATGAATTGGGACGATTTGTTGGATTTTACTCCTTTAAAAGATCATGTTCCAATGATTAATCGTGGATTAAATTTTAATCTTGATTCCTTAAAAAAATCTTTGGGATTAAATGACGATGTTTCTGGAAACAATGGCAAAAGTGATATCTATTTTATTCGTGGGGGTAGACGATATGGAATTGAATTTTTCGACGTAATCGATAATAACAAACAATTGAAAGAATATCAGAAAAAAGTTTTTATAGACGATATAAAAAATAGAAATGAAACTTTAATTCATTTTGGTTCTTTACATGGATCAAAGAGGATAATCCTTAAAAAGCCTGAAAATAGAAATTTCTTACGAAAAATAAAGGAAGATTTGAAATTTAATCATCCTATATTAGTTGATTGTGCCAAGAAGATTACCAATGATTTAGGTGGTACGAGAAGTTTTATTGGTGTTCATTTAAGAACTGGTGATGGAATTTTTAAAAGTGAAAGATATCGTAATATTCGTACAATTTTTGATAAAATAAGCAATTATTCAAAAAATCATAATTTTACTAATAATCTTTTACGTAAATCTTTACCAAATAATGTTCCAAAAAATATTTTGAAATGCTTGGAGAGTCCGGCTTCATTGGTAACTTACATAGCAACTGATGAAAAAACTCCTAAAAAAGTTTTTGGTTCAAAATTAAATCCTTGTACTTTTATACTATCTGATTTTAATACCCATTTAGAACCTTTGAATCATCTTAAGTTTAAATCTTTTTTCAGATCTTTGGTGGATTTGATGGTCGTCTCTAATGGTGGTGCATTTATAGGAACTAGAAGAAGCACTTTTTCAAAGGTGGCTCAAGAATTTTATGAATTTCAATAATCTACATATCAACATTGACTAGAATTTATCACATGATGAATTTGTGAAATTGGTGTTTCAAAATTTTACTAATAAAAATACTGTACGTACTGGTACGTACATTCTACATACGTATTACATATTATGTAATCTCGATTTTATTGTATCAGTATGGTATTGGACGTACTTACGCATACATACATATATACATACACATACATGTATAGTAACGTTACGTTGGGTAAAAGAAAGATCTTATTAGAAGTTGGATTGTGTTATTATGTATAATTTTTCTTTATCTATTTTATTTCATTGCTATATTAGTATTATACAGCATCGAACTGTAGATTATTGTTTTTTTAAGAGTGGCCATTTTGTCGCAAATTGTGAGACGCTTCCAAATTCTCAACATCAAACATTATTATATTTACTAAACCACTATTATTACTAACAATGATCTTGTTAAAATTATTGCATTTTATTACTGATATTTTATAATATTATTAGATGTTTTTTTTTCAGTCTACATATAAAGAAAGCTTTATGGTCTTGTAGACTATTATTTTATTAAGTATTGACAATCCTACTTTACTAGGAAGGGTATTACATTTGCATATCTATGTTACAATTAGTCATACATACAATTTTATTTAAAGGCTCGTCCGCAGGTTATCTGCTAATTGCCATATCTAGAATCTGCCTGTGGGTTCCCTGTTTAATTTTGATTTTCAATCCTTTTTCTGTAACATCAAATTTATTGCGTATAACGATAAACTTTCAGATTAGTTTACCTGTAAAGTAAACTCTTGTAGATCCAACTTCTACACCTGTTTTGGATTTTTTATATTAAAGATATTCTGTGTAAAATCAATCTTTTTTCACAGGTCTTTCTTGTGTTTACTGTTTGATTCATTATATATGATACCTGTATTCCATATGTTGATTTTCTTTTAAGAATTTCTAATCTAAACTTGTATTTACCTGGATTTGTGTTACAAAGTTTTGTATTTAGTTATTAACTTCTTTGGATTATAGAGTATTTTTATCTTCAGTTAAACTTGAACTGTTAATCTTAATTGTAGTAATGAGTTAGAAGCATATCTACTATGTTGTAAAACCCAACTTTATTATTATATATTTTAAATACTTTACAAAATTTTATTTATATATTTTTATATAAATAAATGTATACATCGCATACTGCGATGTGCTTATACATCACATATATTACAAATTATATTTTAACAACTAAAATAAACTAGTTTTTTGTTTAGTTAGGGTTAGGGTAGTATTAGAGTGAAAAAAAGAGTGTTTAACGTAAAATATTGTGAAAATTTTTTTTTTGTATAACACGAAAGTTAGTTTCATATGTGAAATTTTGGGTTATAAGTGACTTTTGACAAAATGAACGTTTGTTTTGAATTTTTCTAATCATGAAGATCATTAATATGCGATGTGTAAGAGCATTGCAGGGTGGCGATGCCTAATTAAGTCCTTAATTAAAATTATTTTAATAATTATTATGATTAATGTTAATTTTTGAAAGTTTTAATTTGAAATTTGAATCTATTATATTTACTAAAATTTGCATAAACTTTTTTTATTATTAATTCTAATTCTAAATTTTAATCTAATTATTACAAAAAAAACAAAAAAATATATCTTAAGAGTAGAGTGTATGTAGATCATTTTTATATAGTTTTTTATATTTTGTTAAAATTTTCATCTAAAATTAAATATAATAAAAAATTACTATTAAATTTATATATAATTTTAAAATAATACACTCTATCCTTAAAAAATTCTAAAATTTTATATTAAAATATAGTTTAAATTAAGAAAAAAACTAAATGGTATCTTTATATGCTTTGTACTTTTTATACTAAAATTATATATATAAAAAAAATTAGAATAAACTAAGTTAGAATTAGAATAAAATTAGAGTTAATATATAATAAAATTATAAGAAAAATATTTTTTTTGATATTAAGTAAAGTTTTGTTTAAAATAGTTACACATATATATGCTATAATTAAAACTAATATTTGCAATTATCATTAATTATTAAACTGCTAACTACTATTTTTATAAAACAAATAAATTGAAAATTACATATAAAAATAAAAGCTTAGACTAATTTATTTGAAACCTAAACCTATTAGAGTAATTAAAGCTTACTTAGATTTAAATACTTAGTATATAATTTAATAATATACTATATTTAATTTATAATATAAACTAAATGTTAATTTTATAAATTGTTTAGTCAATAAAAGAACATATATTAGAATGAGTATATAATTGATTAGAGAGTTAGCATAGGCATGAATAAGTATAATCTTTTTAAGAATATATATGTTTAGTAGTTGGATTAGATAATATTAAATGTTAGCTAATAAGTTAAAATAAAACTCTATTTTGTTACTTTTTTTAATTAAAAAATAAATATAGTATGTTTTCTATAATTGCTTATATAATTGCTTATTAATATAAAGAAAAATATTATCCCTTAATCTGTAAATTGTAGCAGGCAAATTTGCCTGCTTAATAGTCCAAATATAGTAATGATCTACTTTTTTAAAAATTTAAAATTATTAAA